GACTGAGCTGTTTCTTTCCATGGAGGAAGGGATGAGCCCAGACTTAAAATACACCCGGGTGACTCACTAAAAAGACTGGCTGGCTGCATTGTTTTAAGGTCTCACTGAGGGTTTTTCACTTTATTCCTGTTTTCAAAGACAGCCTCTGGCCTCACAATTCTCTGCTGAAGACCTACTTCCTGCACCGCCTGCCCAGCTCCCACCTTCCTTCCTCCTGCCTGCTGCTCAGTAAGTGAGTCAGAGCCTTGCTTTCCGGCTCCTACACCGCAGGCTCAAGCTACTCTCTGGCCCATGTGTACCTTGCAAGTCTTGACATAAAATATTTGTGTTCTCTTTCAGCAAAAGGCATTTCTTGGGGCAGGAATTTAGCTCAGTGGTTCTGCCGCCTGCCTTGCAAGCGCAAGGTCCTGAGTTTGATCCCCGGTACCAAAAAGAAGACATTTCTTATTCCCATAATGAGTTTATTCTTTCTGTCAGAAATGACAGAAAGTTGCAGTGCAGGGAGCACTTGTTGAGTACATTTAAGACCATGTTCCAATCCCTGGCACCAGAAAACAAGAAACACCACAGCAGCGCTCCTGTACCTGACCTGGCAGGGAAAGTGGTGCTCAGAAGGACAGGGCCAAGGAGTCTCCACCATTCCCCATCTACTCCAGCATGGGAGGATCTTATAGCTCCAAGGACAGCAGTGTCAAAACAGCACTACCAGGTACAGTGGTGCGTTGGTTTATGAACTTAACTGTTTCATGACTTGGGGAAGATGGCTACGGTTGTATTTGTGTGGGGAAAATGGCCCAGCTCGTGTCACCCAAGGCGGACTTCGTGACAGTCCGGATCTAAGGAGCAGCAAATCACAAATGCTGCTACTCGAATCACGGCATCCAGAAAGTAGCAGCTGACCCAGCACGCAGAGCACCCCAAGGGGAGCAGAGCACTCAACACTACTATCCCCTCCACTGTACACAGCATTTCTGCAGAGAAATCAGAGCAGAAGGCCTGCAGGCCAGAGCCCTGAGCACCTGAGCAGACAGTGGCAGTGTACATGGTCTTGCAGGAAGTACGCTTGCCCGGCATGCCCCTGCAAGACGACACTAACTTTCCATGAACCAGATGCCCAGCACTGCTTCAGCCAAGGTGGAGGTTTCCGTCAGGCACAGGAAAAGGGCTTTTAACACAGTCCCACCAGCTTGAACCACATGTGTGTGGTTCCATCAGGCGGCTTGACCCACTGGATGAGACTGTCCCATGCCACCTGATGGGACAGTCATGCACATACCACCAGTGGTCAAAGCTGGCGGGAACGTATCACATTCAAATCAGACCCACCTGGCAGTGAGACAGAGGAATTACAGCCCCATGGTGAACATGTTAAAGACAGGTCCTTCTGACTCTCCTGGTGACAGTACCACCTCCAGACAGACCTTGGCCTCCACTACAGATAGATGAGAAATGCTGCAGTCAACGTCCCCAAGATGCACAGCAGGAGAGGAGACAGGGCCCTCAGCATCTCATGCAGCACTGCTCTCGCATGCCATGCTGCCCAGCCTCGGGGCAGCTGTAGGCACGGCTGGGGTCAGACCTATCAAGCACACTCCCTGCCCCCATGGAAGAGAGAAGCCCACTCTGAAACAGGAGCATATTTTAGCAGGGTGGGGAGGGGGCAGGAAGGACATCTGCAGGGAGTGCTGCTGTCACCAGAGAGAGGCTGTGCCCACAGGAGACGGAGGTGCTAGGAGTCCTCAAACCTATGCCAAGGGATAGATGCCCAGCAGCCTTAGGGGAGACTGAGCCTTGCACTCCAGATCCCCATAGGAGGCATGTCACAGAATGATAAATGACAAGAAAGCCCTTCTGGGTACACCCGGCGATGTGCAGTCATAGGGCAGACGGCGGAGCACCTGTATACCCTCCCCGGCCTCTGAGCTCTTTTGGCTCTTCTCTTGTTCAACCATACCCCCAACAGCTAGAGAAGGATGAAATCAGAAGAACGGGGCGGGGCGGGGGGGCGGGCAGCTCTGCCCCTCAGGCAGTGATAGGAGCCGCTGGTTAAAGAATCAGCCTCAGAGCCCCTAATATTCACTGAGCTCCCCAAAGGATCTGATTAGTCCAGGGCTTCCCACCTCACCTGGTCATCTCAGGGGCAAGCATTCCTGGGGTACTGCTCCGCGCCCACTGCCTTTGCAGCATGTCCCGCCGTCTCAGCTCTACGCAGATTCCCTGGGGGCCGAGCAGTGCCAAGTGCCAGTCAGCCCCAAGTGTCTTCCTAACAGAGGAGCTAAGCAGTCAGTTCCAGCCGAGGAAGGGGCAGCACAGGGCCCAGGAGATGCCAGGAGTGCTACAGTTCCTGCCCTGTCCCCAGCTGGTACCCATCCCCTGGCCTAGGTCCCAGCGCACACGCGCGCGCACACACACACACACACCCCCTCCGAATGCAGCCTGGGAAGGGGAGTGGTGGAGACGGCCCTCAGGCCCCTGCCTGCCCACTGGGTCTGCACTGGCTTTCATCTGTCTCTAAGAACTCACTTGTGGCTAATATCTGAATACTCAAGACTCATACCCTTAAAAGGCAGAGAACTTATGTCTGCCTCATGAAAACAAGACCAAGTCAAGGTAAAGTGGGCAAGGACCAAGCAGATGATCACAGGAGGAAACCGAAAGGTGAAGGGCACAAGGACACCAACCCACTGCCCTTGAACAGAGTGGATGGGCCCTGGTCTTGGCTGCCAGCTAGCCAGGGCCTCTTCCCAGAGGAACAATGTGTGTGGCTGGCAGAGAATACGAAGGTTAGTGTGTGCCACTGCTGCCAGCAGGGAATGCAGGCACGCCTGCTAGGGTGCTACTCAGGAAAATGCCAACTGTAGGCAGTGCACAGCCTAGAGGCATCCTAAATATCCAACAACAGAGGAACAAGTAGGTTTGGGCACACCCAGAGGCAGCCCTGAGAATCTCACACTCTCTGACTGTTTACTGGCTCAGCAAAGTCCACACAGGGTGTGGCATGGCTTTAATTTAAAGTTTAGAATAACTGTCTGGGGGTGGGGTGGGGGGGATGATTTGCTTTTTATTTTCTATTTTTTCTGTGCTTTGTACTTCTACAATGGGCAAGTAACACCAAGTTCCAGAAGAGCAGGGACCTTGTCCCTTCCAGTGTTGTCCTGCACAAGCCACAAAACACACCCTCAATATTCCACAAGTACTAGGCAAACAAAGCTGAGCCCAACAGAGGGTCCCGAGTGCGTCCACACACCAGGCCCTGGGGAGCAAAGTGGGCATGTCAGTCCCCGCCCTTTGGAGGCACATGACCTGGTGGGTGAGGAAACCACACACAACAATGTTGTCAGGCACAGCCTCTCCTGGGCCCCTTTGACATTATGGACAAGGACCACCGGGAAGGGGCTGTCTAAACAGAAAAGCCTAAACTCGCAAGGAAACGCGCCCCTCAAATCTGCCTTCCCAAGCAGCTGGAAAGGATTCCATCTCCACCTAGGACTGGAGGTGCCCTCCGGGCTCCCTGCGCAGGCACTCTCTGTCTCCTTCACGGCACAGTGGCAAGGCCCAAGCTGTCTGCAATATGCACACTTTCCTCTCTGTCCTGTCACCAACAACACAATGACATGGTAGAAATGGCCACTTCAACTTTCCACCCAGTCTCCCCAGGTGCCAGGCCCTGGGTAAGGCACCTCTGTGGGACCAGCACATCCCCAGGCCTCATAAGGCAAAGTAAATTACTCCCATTTCATAGGCAGAAAGCAGAAGCCCACAGGCTGCAGGACAGCACCAGGATCACCATCCTGACTGCACCCCCCACCAGCTCACCCACAAGCAGCTGTTACAAAGGCACCCACCCAAATGGAGCCATGCTGCCACAAGTGCCAGCCGCCTGTGGCATCAGGGGCCCAGCTTCTCTGCACTGTGAAGTCCCTGCTGGGATGAGCAGCCAGGGAACCCAGCAGGTCCTGCCAGGCCGCTGCAGTGTAGGCACATGTAAAAGGGCTGAGCAGCCCCCAGAGAAGCCTGACCAGACATACAATGAAGTACAAAGTCATCCAATGGGGCTGTGGCAGTACAGGAGCAGGCTGTTTGCCCAAGCCTGTCTTGTAAGGTTAGACCTTCTTCCTCCCAGCACCACATGGCTGTGCGCTAAGTGCCAGGCATAGTGGTCCAACAGGGGAGTCCAAGCTGTGCAGGAACTACTGGGTACTGATGACCCCCGGAAAGGGACCCGGCTCAGGAGCTCTTCCTAAATGAGAGCCACCCAGCACTTCTCCTCAAGGGTGTCCCCTCCACTCATCAAGCCTGGAAGCCAGGGGATCACTGCCTTTTAGGTCATGAACCTGCCAAGACAATCTCTGTGCAGGGTGCACTCAACTGGGCCAGAAGTAGCGCCTATCCAATCTGCATGGCCCCAGGGCCCAATGGCGGCACAGGCTGTGCCCCTCACCTGCATCTGAAGTTGCCCCCTGCAGAACCCTCCCTGTGCAAGGCCCAGGGCCCAAGGAAGCCCAGGTGCTGGGGCCGGCTCCCTCTCACCTACACCCTCTTGGCACCCCAGGGTGCAGCCCCACCAGGCACCGAGCTCCCCTGCCCAGGAGGTGTATTTACACTGGCTGCTTCTAGTTAATAAGTAGCTGAGACTGGGTGGTAATCACTAGTTCCTCCTACCTGCTGGATGGGTCACTCTTCCCACCAGCTCTCCTGGACTCCCAGCTCCCAAGGGCCCAAGAGCTCAGCCCAAGAGCACTTAGCAAACTGACTGCCTTCAGAAGCCAGGCCCACTGGATGCTGTGCTACAGAGGAGAGCCCCGCAGGCCTCAGGCTGGAGCAAGGCCTCCACCAGTCTCCCTAAAACAGCCCTGGTTCTCACCAAATCCCTGTCTACAAGCACCATGAGACCACTGCCACTACCAGGCTACAGCATGGCAGCAGCTGCTCCTGCTGCAGTGGGCTGCACTTACCTTCACTTTGCTGGGGTAGAGAGCAAGGCAGGAGGCAGCCAATACCTGAGAAGTTCGAAGAAGAGTCCAGGGAAACAGCAGTCCAGTGCAAGGATGTGTGGACAGCAGATGGTAAACTCTCTTGCTGCTCCCTTGAGAAGATGCTGAGAGAAACAGGGCCCAGCCTTGTGGTTCACCGAGGCAGGCTAGGGGGAACTGCTCCAGGGGTAGGGTGAAGCTAACAGAAGGTGCCCAGGAGGCAGCAAGAACACTGCCAATCCTAAGCAGACTTCTCTCTTCCCCTTGCCCACCTCCACATGGGCATGCAGCCCATCACAATGTGAGGAGGCTCCTTTTAGAAGACATCATGGAGAGGAGGGTGCTAGGCATGGCGTCTAATCATGGGCCTCACTGCCATGCTCTGGCACTGCTGGGCAAGACCTGGTTGCAATAACCATTGAGGGAGGGGAAGACTGAGGAAGCAAATATATAATAGGCAGGAAAGGCAAATGGCCACACTCTACCTCACAGTCAGAGGCCACGAGGAAGACCAGCAGGGCTCCCAGATGAGGTATAAGGGAGCAGAGGGCAGGCACAGACAAAAGGCTGCTGTGCTGACAGGACCTAGTAGATCTGCAGGGGCTCTGGGCAGATGAGGTGCTGTCAGATCCACGACGGAGGGGCAGGGGATGAGCCAGACTGCTGCATGCAGGGCAGGGGTGGGCCAGGGTCAGAGCACGCCACACGGTGGCCTACGTGCTCCCCCACCTGCTACCAGGAATGCCGGCACCTGATTACTCCGTGATGGCACACAGGCCAGCTCGAAGTCACAGAGGGAAGGTACAGAGTGGCTCAAGGAAAGAGTCAAACCAGACTGCCCAGCCTGGGCCCCATGCCCTACACAATCTCTGTGCAGAAGTCAGTGCACCTGCGCCCTTTGCCTTGATTGGCCTCACCTGCCAGCCAAAAGGAAGGCTGCAAACCATCATCATCACTCCAGGGATACTGAGATCTCAGGACCAGCTGACTCAGCGGGCCCCCTGTGTCCAGCGTCCCCAAGTGGAACTGTCGGCAGAGCCCCAGCTGCACTGGAGTGCCTTGCCCTGAGGCAGGTTTCTCCTCTCCTGTCTTGAATCCAGGTGGCTGTGACTCCTGGACAACACAAAGTAGTAAAAATTATGCCCCTGTCTCCCAGCTTCCCAGTGTGGACAGCCATGGACAGCCCTGGGGCTCCGTGCCCAGTGTGGTCCAGGCTCACAGGCCAGCACTCTGCAGGGCACCACAAAGGCATACCTGCCTCTCAGCCCCCTCACGGACACAGGGTAGAGCACCGCAGAAGCCCCACGAAGCACAAAACGACACCAGAAGCCATGTGGAAGCCAGCTTGAGAATCAACTAGCAACAAGGAATGCCATTCTTCTCATCACTTTTTACTCTGGAAAGTAGTTACTTTTTAAACTAAAAATGGCACTTACGTTAATAATACTAGGTTCTTATTCTTTTCAAATGAATTAAAGGTTTTTTCAGGCTTTTTGATTTGTATAGTTTTGTTTTTGTTTTTTTGGTACCAGGGATCAAACTCAGGACCTTGCATTTTTGAGGCAGGCATGGTGCCACTGACCTAAATCCCCGGCCCGATTTGTATAGTTTAAGGACTGAACACCAATGAGTGCAGAGCAACATCCCCAGCCCTTATTTTTAAATTCTAAAACAAGATATCACCTAATTGCACAGGCTGGCCTCAAACGTTCAATCCTGCTTCAGCCTCCCAAGTAGCTGAGATTACAGGTATGCACCACCACACCTGGATTTTAAATCTGTAATACAGTAAACACTGCAGCTACAACCCATGGAAATCCAGCATTTTTTCAGAGTGTAAAGAGGTCCTGAGAGCAGACAGTTTGAGAACTCTCTGTAGACTGAGGACATGACTCCACATGGAGAGAGGCCCCCATGGCCTCGGTGGGGAGCAAGGAGCCCTCAGGCCTCCTACACCAGCCACTGCTGGAGGTAACAGAGTGACGTGGGGTAGGGCAGGAGAGGTGAAGGTCCCTCACTGAGGCAGGAGGTTCCAGGGAGGGGAGGACTCACCTGCCGGGCAGCAGTGGTAGGTCACAGGCAGAGGCAAGGTGACCAGTACTGCCCCAAATACATGCAGTGTGCAACATGGCCCAGGAAATGCATATACACACACCAGCCCCCATCTCCCTCCATCTGTGGGATCTATCTGGACTCCACCAACCGAGGACCAAAAATATTCAGGAAAAAACTGTCTGCACTGAGTATACAACAGGACTTGTCGTTACTCCCTAAACAATAGAGTACGACTATTTATACAGCAGTAGCACTGCACTGGGTTTGAGGAGATCCAAAGCTGACTTACTGTGTACAGGAGGATGTGCACAGGCTCTGTGCAAGCAGTACACCATTTTACAGAGGGGGTCCTAGGACCAATCCCCAAGGGTACCAAGGGACAGATGCACCAACTTTAGGTTCATAATATTTCCAATGTGGCATTACAGGGTTTCTTTTGTTAGTTTGCTGTAGTTCACATTGTATTTCTTGACATCAAAAACTTGGTTACTGATGCCACTGATACATGCATTTGTTTTGTTGTTACCAAAACACAATGAACATATGACCTCTGCCATAACCTCACAACAGAGCGCTCACCTGTGCTCCCCGCCACCGCTCACCTCACCCCATCTTCAGTGCGCGTTGCCCTCACATTCCCCCGCTCTGTGGCCATCAACAGGCCATGCAGCAAGTAAATGGTTCCTGCCCACTCTTCCTACTCAACTGACAGAGAAGCCAATTCAAAAGCACTCCCACTGGCTAACTTTGGGACAATTCACTCATCAAAAGTAATAAACTAAAAATCATGACAATAAAGACTATTCTTGACTGCAAACCCAAGAAACCATGGGGGCCGCAGCAGAAGCAGGCCATCCGACAGAGGCCTGGCGCTCCCCTGGCACCTACCTCACCAGTGCAGCCTTGGGGCAGCTTCTCAGGGGCCTCCTAGAACCCCTGCCAAAACAGCTCTCCCACCCCTACCCCGACATACCCCAGCTTCCTTACTCCATCCCCTCAGCAGCAGGAAGCTACATGTTCCCTACAGTTCAGGTCCCCAGGACCTACTCAATCCAACCACATTTTCTGGTTCATATCTTTGTACCTCTCAACACCACTGCTTATGGGAAACTGTCTTAACAAATGGGGCACCAAAAGAACAGATTATGGAGCAGAAAAGCAGACATGCAGGGAGCAGTGCTGTATAGGACATGGAGGCAGGTGAGGGACTCGCCAGGCTACACATAGCCAGACCCCATATGGACACAGAGTGAGTGCACGCCACACCCAAGCTAATTTTACGCTCCTAGGCTCACTCCCAGGGCCAGGTCGGCTCAGGCATCTGGCTCCTTGGGGCCACCTGGCACTGTCAGGCTTTTCCACAGACTGGGGACATAGCCCAATAAGGTGGGGCTGGGAACATGGTGGATTCAGATGGTGCAGTCCAAACCCCTCAAGGGCTCCTGAGGCTGTTCCTTGTGCCAGCCCAAGGTAGGAGGGGAAAAGGTGGTAATAAAAGAGAAACTGAAAGGAAAGGCCCTACCTAGAAAGACCATGGTCAAAGCCAAAGTGTGTCCTCTGCTCCTGCCTCTCAGCCCTCCACTCACCAGCTCCCCTGGGTGAAGCCACACACCTCTGTAGGGGCACCTTGCCTTCCAAACACCACAATGCTCAAGCACACTGCCCAACATCACAGCCACCCAGCATACACACAGCATTCAAAGACATGACATGGACTTAAGTATATCACGCTGCACCCTGGTGGAAATATCCACCAACAAGGAACCCCTGGATCAACACAGCAGCCCAGGTGGTTGTGTGGACAGACAAAGGAAAGTTCTGAAAAGAAGGAAACTAGGAAAGACATGTGCAGGCACAAGCTATGGCAGAGATGTGTGGCCCACTCCAAGTAGGGCCATGGTCACACATGGTCACACACCCTGCCAACTACCTTCTTCTCCCTTTAAATTTCCACACTTCGTTTTTATTTCAATTGTCCTACTTCCATGTACCCAGGCACTGTCCCACAGAACTGCAGTGAACACCAGTGGGCATGCCCTAGTCACAGAAACCTGTGCAGAAGGAAAAACAAACACAAGGCAGTAAAGAATGGGAGGCACTTCTGCCAAGACAGGCAGGAGCAGCACATGCCACCTTCCCTCCAGGATCAGCCTGAGGAGGTGGGCACGAGAAACCCCAGCTCCCTGAAGCTTGTCCCAGTACTGGTCACCACCAGCAGCAACAGAGGGAGCAACCCAGGGTCTGGTTGGCTCAACCTGCTGCCTCCTAAGCCTAGGCCTCGCTCGGTGTCCACAGCAGAGCTAAGCAAACACAGGAAGTGGGGTTTGGTGTTTCTGTTTCCATAGCTACTATGGGGCTGATGCAGGAAACTCTGGGCTAAAAGATCACTGACACAAGTGTCACCACTGAGATGGCCTCCAGGACCCTTCCCACACAAGTGACCACAGCGGAGGCCACACTACCCCCGAGACAAGCCTTTGTAGATGAGCACAGCCTCACCTGATGCCCACCCTAAGTGTACCCACTGATACATGATCAGCACGCAGCCCATGCACTGGCTCCCTAGGTCCTTAGAAGAGGCTTGCTGAGCAGGTACAGGGTAGGCAACCTCAGGCAACAGCTGGATGTGGGAGGCATTGGGGAGGACGAACACAAGTCTGCTGCGCTCCCAGACACACCTGTGCTTGGGAAGCCAACCCTGCTGTCCACCAGCCCAACACAGCAGAGGCTATCTTGCCACCTCCAATGGGGTCACACCCTACCGGTGACTTGAAGGCTTGGAGGGCACTTGGTTCCAGGCCTTCTGTGGGATGCAGGACAGAGAAATGACATGTTGCTGAGGGCATCCTGGCACATATGGCACCCAGGATTATCTTTAAAGGGTCTCTGAGTACAATACTGCCCTAAGCAGATAGATACCTTCACAAACCCAGCCCTAAGACCAACTGGGAGAGCCATCAGGGAGAGAGGCTAAGACACACCCTGCAGCAGGGCCAGCCTGGAGAGCTGGAGGCAGAGACAGCTCTTGCCTCTGTGCCTCCATAAGGACTATTCCCACTTCCGGGGCCCCACCTTTTCTTTCTCCTTGGAAAATTAATAAAATTAAACAAATAAATAAATAAATAAAGGCACCCTCCTGCACACTTTGTACTCCCTCCTCCTCCATGCTTGCAGGGCACTTGTCCTCACCCTTCCTGCCAGCCTGAGAACCCAAATGCTTTGATCATGAAATGCTTCACCCCCAACACGCAGCCAGTCAGGACAGCCAGAAAACGCAGGACCCTGGCTAAGGGAGAAGTCTGGTACATTGTCAAAAGAAAGTAGGTCATAGCAGGCCATGGTGGCACACGCCTGTAAGCCCAGCATTTGGAGAAGCTGAGGCAGGAGGATCACAAATTAAGCCCAGCCTGGGTGGGACCCTCAGTGAGAGCTTGTCTCAAAATAAAAGAGTAAAGACAGCTCAGAATAAAATTCAGAAGTGTAAAGTTCCTAGATTCAATCTCCAGTACCAGGAAGAAAAAAAAAGGCTGGGTCACAGCAGCATCAGCAATAACTGCAGAGAAGGGACATACCCCTGTGTCCGCCTGCGGGTGAACAGGGAAACAAATGTGCAGATCTCCACACGTTGCCTAGGATGGAACTGCTAGTGAGTGCAACACAGATGAACTTTAAAGGAGGCAGTGCCAGGGAATTAGCCCAGTGGTTCCGGCGCCTGCCTTGCAACTGCAAGGTCTCGAGTTTGATCCCTGGTACCTAAAATAAATAAATAAATAAAGGGTGCACTACCTACTGAATCTGCCAAAAGACCAGATAGCAGGACTCCATTTGTATGAAGTGCCAAAACCAGAAATCTATAGACAGAAAATGGATTAGTGTTGCCTCAGGCAGGGGCGGGGCAACTGCAGTGGACCCAAAGGTTCTTCTGATGGTGATGGCAACATTCTAAAATTAATCCACAGTGAAGGTTACAAAAGCCTGTAATTTCACTAAAAATTATTTAATTGTACACTTGAAACAAGCAAACTTTGTGGTATGTAAATGATACCTCATGAGGCTGT